ACAAAACATTAAACAATTAAGAATTTTAGCATCACAATACACAGTAATGTTATGATCACTACAGTACTATAAATTCATATATTTAATAATTAATACATGTGCATAGAATAGTAGTACCAGATCTGTGTCATTTTGTAATTCCTCCCCAAAACTTCAAACTAAAGTGTGTCTTTAATTTCATGTTTCCCTGTAGGTAAGAGGTAGCCATATTTTAATTTTTTCTAACAAAAAGCATTCATCACCTCACAAGAACTAAATCCTATTACAAAATTGTTTTTACATCATTCTATCAATCTAATACTCCAGCACCTCAACACTCACATTTATAATTTAAAATTTTACTTCAATCCATATTTCTCCATTTCATATACAATTAGTTCTCAACTTGCAATAATTCATTTTGATAATTACTTCAACCTTCTATCGTCATATTTCACCACTTCAGGTATGTAAGGAAAGAGTCTCCTTTCCTCGAGGAATCATAAAAGATATATCCCTCACTCCTGCTTTACTCAGTTTGAATGAGCCTTCACTAACTAATAACACAGGCTTGGTATGACTCCCAAATTCTTGGCCTTTTCATTAAATCTTTGAGAAGTTTCTGACAAGTGACACTGGATATCTTATACAAAAATCCACGGCAAATACTGTAATTGTGTCTGAGAGTATCTCCTCACAGTCCGGAAATTTACACATTTCCTTCATGGATGAGACGAAGTACTGAATGGATTTTTTTCCGTGGCTGTACAAGTCCTTCTCACTTTTACAACACCAACTATTCACCTCCCATCATTAATCTATTGACCACACTACTACACTTTCTACCCTATTGACCACACCACACCACTCCACCTTTCATTTCATGGACTGTACCACATCACTACAGTATTTACTCGATCAAACATACAACTCTTCTTATTACTTCAATTATCAATCCTTCAATGTCACACTTCTATGCAGTCCTATAAATTAACAAGGAATTAAGGGAGATTTATTTCAACTGCCATAAAATCAAACTTGCAAATTTGTATTTCATTGGATGTAAAGTATTGTCTGCCATATCCTGGAAACACCTTGAATAGTTGTATACTACTGTATTAAAGAATAACAGCATAATGATCATTGAAAAAAATTGAATATATATATATATATATATATATATATATATATATATATATATATATATATATATATATATATATATATATATATATATATATATATATATATATATATATATATATATATATATATACATACAGTGGGGTATGCTATAACGAACGGATCCTACTACGAATATTCCTATAACGAACGGTTTTACCTATAAAATTGAGAATGCTATAACGAACGCAACTCCTACAACGAACGCGGATGAATACGGGACTATTTCGCCTGGCGCATGAATATTGTTGTACCGCGACCCACAACAAGAGCGTCAGGCGCCATCTTTGTCTCATTGTGTAGCCAGTGCACCACTGTTATTGTTGAAATTTCGTCTTTTGATGTGGAAATTCGCGTTATTTGTATAACTATTTTGTTATACAAGTATACAATTGTAACAATGAGTCGTCCAAAGCGAGTGAGAAAGCTAATAACCCTTGAAACTAAGAAAGAAATTATAAAGAAACGTGAGAATGGAAGAAGCATTGCGAAACTTAGTGATGAATATGGGATGGCTAAATCGACTATATGTACGATTTTGAAGAATAAAGAGGAGTTAAAAACTGTGCAAGTGGCTAAGGGAATCTTTAGACTTAGCAAAGCAAGGTGTAATGTGATTGAAGAGATGGAAAATTTACTCTTAGTGTGGATAAAGGAGAAAGAAATGGCAGGTGGTAACATTAGTGAAGCTATAATTTGTGAGAAGGCTAAACAATTGTTTGAGGACCTTAAAGCCAAGACTCCCAGTGGAAGTGATAGTGATGTGCCAGTGTTTAGGGGTACCTGCATGCTGAATAACACTAAGGTAAGATAAAGTACCGTATTTTTTACATTTTCCACAGAATTTTTTCAGTGTTAAGCGGTTGTATTTGGGGGCCTGGAACGGATTAATCCTATAACGAACGAATGATAACGAACGAGGTTCTGGAACCAATTACGTTCGTTATAGCATACCCCATATATATATATATATATACTGTGTGTATGTATATATATATATATATATATATATATATATATATATATATATATATATATATATATATATATATATATATATATATATATATATATCCATGTATATATATATATATATATATATATATATATATATATATATATATATATATATATATATATATATATATATATATATATATATATATATATATATATATATATATATATATATATATATATACAGTATATATATATATATATATACATACACACAGAGTATAGTCTTGATTTACGCAGGTTTTGTTTACGCGTTTTGTCATTTACGCGGTGCCTTGCTAGAATGAAAATGCTTCAATTATGCGGTAAAATTGGTCATTTACGCGGAAAGCAGCTGGAGGTCCAGACGCTCCAAGCCATTTTTCATTTAAGCGGTCCATTCTCGACCACACGCGGGAAGCGGCGCAGTGGGGGGTGTGTGCATTAGGTTGCTGTTGTGTTATCGATGAAGTCATATGACGTATCGGACTGTGATTGGGCCACGCATCCTTACCACCCACGCATTTCCTCCGCCGCTAGCTGTGATTGGTCTAATGTTATATGACGTGGCCTGGGACGGGAGGGAGCGCCTGACCCAGCCGCCTAAGTCTCATTGTTCTCCTGTCGCCGCGTATACTGTTCTCTATTGTGCTCGCTAATCTGTTCAACAATGGCATCCGCTGGATCCCCTCCACCACAGAAAAACCTTGCATTATCTGGACCCAGCCACCCCAAGCCCAAGAAGATACGACGTGCCCTAAGTTACGAAGTTAAGTACAAGATCGTGCAAGATTTAGAAAAAGGAAAGAGACTAGTTGACTTGGCGCGCCAGCATGGCGTGAACGAATCTACGATCCGGACGATCAAGAAGGAAGCCGCCAAGATTAAAGAACACATGAGCATCACAAAGTCTGCAGGTGCTTCAATGGTGAAGTACTGTCAGAATAAGGTGTTGCTCAAGACGGAGAACTAGGCCTGGTGAGCTACTTAATTCGTCAGGCAAGACGTAACATGGCGGTCGACACGCAGGCAGTGCAGGACTACGCACGTGAACTGTACGCATCAGTGGTGTGCAAGATGGGAATTGCAGAGAAAAGGAAGAAGATTACCAACATTAACATTAACATTGTCCAGTCTGCCAGCAAGTGTCGGGGCCGGAAATTGCGGAAGGAGCGCATAACCGTCCTGTTTACCACCAATGCCTCCGGTACCTGGAAGCTCAAGTTGTCGGTGATCCACACAGCCCTCAAGCCACACGCCTACAAGAACATGGACATGACCAAGCTAAATGTCCACTCGCTAACCTCACGCACGGCGTGGATGTTCACTGGTCTGTCCCTCTCTTGGTTTGACGACTGTTTCGTTCCCGATGTCAAGAAATTCTGCGCGCAAAATAATGTGCCATTCAACATTTTGTTGCTGCTTGACAACGCACCAGGACACTCGCCCCTACTGTTGGATCGTCACCCCAAGGAAAAAATGGTCTTCCTTCCTCCCAACACTACAGTACGTCGTTAATCCAGCCCATGGACCAGGAGTTGATATGCAACATTAAGGCTGCATTCTCTGCAAAGCAGTTTAAGCTCCTGAATGACTGTACCAACACCAAGGATGAGTTGCGTAACCTTCTGAGTGGCACAGATAGCGAGAGCGACGACAACGAGGATGCAGAACAAGAGTTGGCGGAGCATGGATTGCGAGTTAAACAGTTTTGGAAAATGTTTAACGTCAAGAAAGCTGTTGATTTCTTGATGAAGGCATGGGGGCAGCTGTCTGTGGCAACGATTCGTCACGCGTGGCGGCATGTGTTGCAGGGTATCCCAGGTGGGAGGCACAGTCAACCTGTGGCTGGTGGGGTTCAGTCTGTTGCAGTGGCAGTGGACCTTGCAAGAGAAGCTGCACAGAGTGTTACAGCTGCAGGCTTCTCCGAGACCACCAACGACGATACCATGGAGGTAATCAGGGATCCTGAGGTGACTGCCGACGAGATGTTGGATGACGATGACGTTAGTGAAGATTCAGGAGGTGCGGCAGCCCGAGAAGAACATAAGTTAACACATGGTAATGTAAAGGATGTCATCGAGTTTGCAGAGAAACTCAAGCTCGTCCTTTCCAATGACCCTGACGATCACCGCTATGAAGTCTTCAGTAACCATCTGTTGCAATTATGGAGCCGTACATCACGATGTATCACTACCACATCAACAATAGCCGTCAGCGTAACATCACTGACTTCTTCGCGCGCAACCCACCACAGCCAACCCAAGCCAGTGACAGTGATGACTTTGAGGGGTTTGTCAGGGAGGCCCTGACAACTATGGTGGATAGTGATTCACCTGAGGGCCAGTAATCTGCCCTCTGCCTCGGAACCAGCCCCCATTCTCGTATGCAGACCCATCTCTTCCACTAACGTAAGTGTTAAACCTTGATATTTCTTTTGCCTGGTGCAGTATATTATTCTGTTATTGATATTTCTCTTCTATATTATGTGTGTTCATACCATCATAAAATTAAGATAATATTTTTACTACAACGTACGTATTGTGTTGCAAAAAGTGGAGTTTCGGGGTCGGCCCAGTCTCTATTTCAATTAATCCCATATTTTCTGTTATTTCATTTAAGCGTTTCTCGTTTTACGAGGTACTCCACAGGTTCAATTGACCGCGTAACTGAAGACTATACTGTATATATACAATACACTGCAATACTGTATTTATAGAACTGAACCTCTAGACCTGTAACAAGTCAGGAAATTCAAAATAAATATAATGAATCAAATGAGATTGACATACAGTTCATAATATACAAGTAAATAGTGAATTAACAGGCAATTAATTTACATGTGAAATACTGTATGTTTTATTCTAATTACTGTTCTGACAGTAAATTATACAAGGCTACCTTAGTGATAGAGTTCTTAAATCCTTGTTCTTCGACTGTCTTATTAAGATAACCACCATGGAAACTTATAAATGCTGAACCTTAATTCTGGATGATATAAAAATGACAAAAATCCTTCAGAATGGTTATGGAATATTGTCCTCAATGCCTTGAACCGAGAATACTAAGGTAAGGTCAGAGAAGGATGATAGCATGGCTCTTTAATGATCAAAACTGACCATCCATCTCCCTTTCATGCCATCTGGTGCCCAAGTCACCATTTGCTAACTTTTGACCAATAACATCTGTATTGCTATAATCTTTTGTGCCTTATCAATTCATTCAAATCTGATGACGGCAATGACTAGATTGAACCATGACCAAGTACTAATAATGCCTAACATATAATTTTCTTAAAGCCCAGATGGAAATGCAAAGACCTTGATTTGATATGATGAGGTTAGTGCACCTCAAGTGAAAGTCTGAAGGAATAATATGATTCCAATATATCTGTCAACCACAACAAATCACACCCTGACTACAGTATATCAGTCATGAGCAGTTTAACATTAAGTGGATGATTCAGACAACCTGCTATCAGCATCAATACAGCAAATAACAATAATCTATCAGTGATAGTCACCAAAGGAATCTCCACTTCCTGTTGACACAAGAAAATATTTGTTTCAATACTAATTTTAAATATCTGGTTTTACTTTCACACTTCACTATCGCTGTTTAAAAAAATAAATAAATCGGAATGCCATCATACAACCCTCCTTTACAGTTTTTTACGCAGCATTTTGCACAATGCTTCCAACACACAACACTTTCTTATGAAAATAATCATCAGAAAATTTAACAATGTAACAGTAACAGTAACTACAAACAACAAGAAATTTCAATTCAATAAATATTCAAATCAACCAACAAAACAAAACACTATTCCTAGTACACCTAAACTTCAATATATGAAGCCAAATTAAATCTTAATTTCCATCAGTCACAACAGGCTTGGATGTTTCACAAGCAAAACACAAATATTCAACTTTATGTACATGTGTACTGTATAGTCATTAGGATTAATTACCTTGACTGTGATAATATGTTGCCATCCTGATAATAACAACTTTGACCAACATCATTATAAATAACACTTTTATTAACAGTGCATCTTTTAAGTCATTCAGTTCTTCAGGTATTTCTCAACCTGTCACGTGTGCTTATTAACTGCTAAACAAAACAGATTGGTACTGCTAAGTTTTTCTGTTTGATAAAATGAAATCAACCTCAAAAGACTATTAATCCAGAAACAAAAGCATCAAATGAACTGATGCTTCATCAATTTTACACAGCTGTGTGTGAGTATTCGTAATCAGATCTTTGGACCAATAACAGGTACTGTATCAAGTTTCTCTGACTAAAGCATTTTATAGGTACAGCTGCACATGTTTTGCCTCTTTAAATTAATATTTAAATACTTAAAAATCACTGGGAAGAAAAATGCTGTCTTTTATATAAAAACTGAAGTACAATGTATGAGTATAATCCATGAACATAAACAATATATAACCCACAAATAAATGCAAACATATAAGTTTTCTGTTCATGAGCATCTGGCAATGAAAACTTAAAAAGATAATCTAACAAACTCACATCTCCATACACTTACATCAGAATACATTTCTACAAGGTATCCATAAATGATTATCCTGATTAAAGAACGAGAGCATACTGTTTTTAGGGTAATCATTTATGGACACCCTAAATATTAACATTTAAAATATCTAGTTAATTTCAAGCACCTTGCCATAGCAACCTATTGTAGACCTAAATATATCAAGTAACACAGGGATACATTTAGCCTACGGTACAGAGACCAATTGATAACTCATATCATTCACCGTTCATTAGCCTCTTCAGCGTGTACCTCAACAGAATTGTGTGTATTAACGGCTCCTGTGACCTGACTGTTTGACTGTATGGCAACATGGGAGTCTGAGCACGAGAGGAAGGCTTTCTCCAGGGTTCTCCTCAAGGGAGAGTTCACTGTGGAAGATGGTCTGGACTGACGGACTGGGGTACTATCACCGGAAGATTGATTTACTCCATTCCTGCAAAACATAATTGTAAATCAAACAACAATGGCAAAAGAAGAGGAACTACAAGTAATACATAAATAAGATCCTGTAAATTATAATAATGCAAAGATTGTTGCAAATTCCTGCCACCTTTTCAAATCCTTCTTCTGGGGGATTTCACAACATTAACATCCTTATATACTTTACTACATGTTTTGACTGTACTGTAATTACATATATGGTGGCGTATAAGTCGACCCCCCTTTTCAAGCAAAAAAATCTGGTCATAGAGGTATACCTACCGTAGAAGTCGACTCCCGAACTCCAGCAGCTGTCAAGTGTTGTGAAGGACCAAGTCAACCATCAAAACACATACATAAACAGGTAAACAGTAAAACAAGCCGCTCTAGACAGGACGTCACGCACAACGTCATTAGTGACTGACCCAACAATCACAACAACACTGAACTCAGTTGACTTCCTGCTCATTCCACCACAGTCCACACACAGCCACTGACCAGACAGTGTTTAAATACAACTACTGTACTGAGAAAAACTTTATTTCAGCCATAATAGAAATAGAGCAATTATATTAAAGGTAAATATGAAGGTTGTAATACGAAATACTCTCACTTACGGTCATGATTTTAGAGGTCATCATTTTATACCCATCGTATAAGTCGACCCCCTAACTTTGGACACTAAAAATTTGGCTTCAAAGGTCGACTTATATGCCGCCATATACGGTAATAATCCTAACCATTTCACATGATAAAAATCCCTTTCTATATTTTTTGTCAAGCTTTAATTTCTCTTTTAAACACTACAAACCTAATATTCTGGAAACAAAACTTGGTCCATGTTACGTAACATTCTAAACAGTTCTCCCTGTTCATGATACGGTAAACAAACCTCTCTGTAGTCCACATAATTAGTTACTGAGGCATACTACGCTAGTCAATTTTCCTGACTACTAAATGTTCCCCTACAACCCGGTATGCATCACTGATACACCTCTGATAAACAACTGGCAAGAGGTAACACTAGCACTGTAGAGTTACTCATTTGTTTAATAAAACTTTTACAGACTCAATTTAAAAGGATAGGATGAGCTTTGGCCTTTGCATACCCAGCAATACCCTATAGCTGGGTATCACTAAGGTATGACATTCACCAGGGAGGATTTTACATTTAACTGTTGATGAAAAATTTACCCCTGTGCTCTGCTAGAAGTCTCAACAAATGGAAAGCTGGCATTGTCAAGTGCCAACAGAAGGGAGAAACACCAGCCAATCAGAAGCCAGGAATTTTCCCTCTACATGGAATGTAATGCCAATGTTGATAAAGTATGACAATAAAGCATGAATGGGAATACCTCATCAAAATATTAAGAGGTGGTAGACTATTAAAGACGACTACCAAACTGTTGAGGTATGTCTTAAGTGAAATGTACTAGACCACCAAGATGCCAAACCATTAATGAGCTGGACTAGAAAGAGGATAATGTACAGAACTGTATATTCATAAATATAAAATTTAAACTTTTACTTAAGCTCCCTTTTTTATCATTCTACCATAGATCCTTCTTACTTTAGTCAACACACTAACATCAACATAACATAATTATTCAATCAAATAAATAATAATAACAAGACACTGTCAGTGACCACAAATTCATAAACTGTTATCAATGATATAAAAACAGATGATGATAAAGTTGTTGATGACAAAGGTAGTTCGTCTTCCCTTGACTGATACAAGAACCAGAACATGTGAAAATTTGTTCAAGAGATAAGTCAACGTGAGCGCCTCAGATAAGGTCTTAAATGCTATTACAGAGACCTGGATAATGTGTAATTTAGTAAAGATTGTTGTCATATAAAATGATACAGATCTGGACATTCAGGCCTCATGCCTAAGTTCGTATGATATATATGTAACACGTTAGTAAAAACAGGTGTTCTAACAGCACTACAGAGCATATGTACATTTTAAAGCTAGATAATAATATAAAAAAAATCAATGATTACATACAAAGAAAACAAGACTCTGCATATCAACTTGCCTGAGTCAAACATGCAATATATCTTCAAACTCCCTCAAACCTTCATCATATTAGCTGGATCATGCCTATTATCAAACTCAGTGGGGCTTTTGGTCTGGCTAATGTGCCTGTCATGTCTAGAGAACATCTATCTACTCCTTCATGAGTTATCTTGCTCACATGGCAGGCCACAAATGAGGATGATGTAGTTGAAAAACAAAAATAACCAACTCACAGCACGTACGCATGTGGGTCACTTCACCACCACCACTACCACCAACAATACTCATCACCACCACAAACAATACTCACCACCACCACCACACTCCCGTGACTACCACTACCTCTATCCACACACACCCACCACCACCCTGATGCTGCACCCCCTTCCCCTTCCACGATCGCACAGTAACTACCGTGGACATAAAAAATGTTTAATTATATTTTTGACCTAATGATAACCATTTCTTTTATTATTATTCATTATTTTTTTTGCACGAGTTGAAAAATACAATAATACAGCTTCGCCTGGTGGGAGAGGTAAGACAATGTAGATACAGTGACATCTGACTGGAGACCTGCCAAGCATGCACACACACATTCATTACGTTGGGCCTTAGTTAGGCCTACTTCACACAAGTGTTTTTGTCTCGTGCGGGAGAAGGCATGTGTTCACATGGACGTGTTTTTCACTCTCCAGCTTGCCGGCATCTGACAAAAATAATCACAGGCACTCCAACCCCTTCCATAGATGCACCACAACTGATGCGCAGAAAAATATGCTCGTCATATGATGAATTCGAGAATGCTCGGCATATTTTTTTCACACTGCAGTTTGGAAGTACAGGTACAGGTGTGAATTTTTACAAGCATTCTCTGTGCCATTATACCATCTATTTCTAAAACACGCAGGTCCATATGCACGGAAAAAAATGCTTGTGTGTGAAGTGGGCAGCTAGCCCACCCAGTTTGAAATCTTACTGTATTGTATCATAATTTTTCATTTGCGAATAAGTGTGGGTATGTTTAGTGAATATCAAATAGGTGCGTTAAAATATAAATTGTGGATAAGCGGGGTTGCGATTATCAAGGTTGCAAATAGCGAGGTATTCCTGTATGTTCATCAACATTTGTAAATACTCATCTGAAACACTTACAAGAATGGTGTTACTTCCTACACTGCACCCTAGAATCCTATCAATCAAGAGAGCTATTATCACCATCCATCATGTTTTCACCTCATGTACTGTCTCATCCATGAAAATATTGAATAACAATGCATGTAATATAAGAAGTGGTACAGGTTGTACCTCTCTAGTCCGGCAACCTCGGGACCTAACCGGTGCCGGACCATGGAAATTTCCGGACCATGGAAATTCACCCTTTTCCTGGATAGATAGTGACTTGTGCATACACTTGGAAGCACTAGCACCACTTTCACTGCTTCGTGGTCTCTTTGAAGACATATTGAAGGGTTAAATGTTGTACAGTAGGTTCTCAAATTTCGCGAGTTTTTAATTCAACGTTTTTTATTTAGACACACACACAAAAAAAAAACACTGCACAATTTAAAATTTTGACGGCGAAAACTCGAATTTCGACGGGTTTGAGCGGCCCGCCAACGTTCAGACATGCACAATTGTGTAAACAGCGTCATTTCTCGATGTACAAAAGATTCATTATTGCTTATTACTGAATGTCTTTTTGATTGAATTAATGTATATGTGTGCAAAATGAACAATACAATTCATTAATAATACGTAGAATATTAAAACACACGAGGAGACGAGACAGCATTGTTTTCGTTGTTTACAAAACCAGTGACTGACTGGTTCTACATATAAAACAGAAGAAAATAAGACCCTGGTCGTAGCTGTAGTAAAATTAATATGGTTGTTTTAAGTAATGTTATTTAATGTTAATAAATGGAACAATGGAAGCAGCTAACCATTAATGGTAAAAAAAATAAGAGAGATCGCGGATGTAAGTGAGCACATGTGTAAACATATCGTCATTACTATACCTAAGAATATGAAAGCAACACTATTTACTGTTCATATATATTTTAATTAATGTTTCTGAATTTAAAACAAAAATTCTACCCACCAGTGGTGGTAAAGTTAAAAACAAAGACAGCCAATGTTGTTGTGTGTGTTTTTCCTCGGATGACGAAGTTGCCAAGCCATCAGGTTCAACTCTAGCTGAAGCTGTAGAACATAAGAACTTTTCTATGTTGTTTTTAGTTTTTATTTAACTTTATCTGTGTTATTTTCGTTGGTTTATTAGGATGTTGCTTTATTACAGGTAGTAATTCGCCAAAAAAGTAAGGTAAATAAGGCCAAATTTAGCCAAACATCGAAAGTACAGTACCAGACTCAAATTAATTTTCTCCATGGGCAAACTAAAATCGTTCCGGACCACGGGAGTTTCCGGACCACAGAATGCCGGACTAGAGAGGTACAACCTGTAATGGTAGTAGTAGTAGCAATAATACTGTAGTAATAATACTGTAGTAATAATAATAATAATAATAATAATGAAATAATAATAATAATAATAAAATAATAATACAGTAATACGTATTGTAAAAATAAAAATAATAACCTTACCTTTTGGAAGAAATAACATTGCCATTATCTAAGCCTCCCCCGAGGGTCTTCTCACATCTGAAAGTCATTCCACAAGTGATGAGGAATGTGATATGGAAGTCACTCAACAAGATCTCATTGGTTATAGTGAAACGTCTGCTAAGTAAGATTTGTACATGTAATTGATTCATCATGCAAACATTGCTGCATTCTTATACCCAGAAAAATATATGTACTGTATATGCAAGAACTCCTGAACCATGGAAAATGGTTAATGTTACTTAATACTTAATCTTGTTCTCAACAGCATCATGTGCAATAGTTACAACAAGCACATTAAAATAAAGGATGAAGAAGATCAAGCATAAAATAAATTTTCCAACAAACTTCCCATAATTACATGTCAAAGAATTAATATTGCCTTATCCAATACACACACTGATGAAATTACATTACAGTGATCCCTCGGTTAACGAATTACCTTTCATAAGATTCTTAACTTCGGCTAACGAGCATTCCCTCGATTAAAGAATTCCTTACGAGCGCCCCTCAACATGTTTTCGCTTGCACACTAACTGTCGTATTAGTCGGCCAATACAGTAATCGGTTTTAGGGCTTAAATTCCTTACTATTTTAGTAAATATCAAGAAGTTTGTACTATTCAATAATTTTAAAAGTCTTATATTAAAATTTTTAGTCATTTTAACAATTATTTAACATAATTTAAGCACACAAGGTAACTAGTTTTTAGCGCGCCAAACAGCCTGTCAACACACCATACAGGCGTCAGTCTCTGTGTCTTTTCAGTGGAGGTAACATCTTGCTTTAAACTCTCTTCAACAAAAACACTTTTTTCCGTTTTTCCAGTCAAATTATTGATCATTTTGAAATTTATTTTACATATTGATGATATATAGTGCAGTGCAGTGTTAATTTAAAGAAAATAATCATGAATTACACCAAGTGAACTAAAATCTTAAGGGTGAAATGGCACATGGGGTGACTTCTCTTACACCACAATGCCTTCTCTTCTCTCTTTTCCTCCACCCCCATTCTAATTCCCATCATCATCATCATCAACCAGGAGCCTTCTACATGCACACCTCAAAGTAAGTGTACTTTACTGCATTTATTTTTCGTTTGTATGTAATTTTCGGTGAGCTGGAACCAATTACCCAAAACCCATTGGAACAATGGTTTCGGTTAACGAATTTTTCGGTTAACGAGCAACCTTCTTGAACGAATTGTGCTCGTTAACCGAGGGACCACTGTATATGAGGAAAGAGAAGATAAGGAAACAATTTTTAGGAAAACAATGCTAAGTAGAAAATATCAATTACTGAAGTGATGCAAAAAATCTGCACAAGTAATCACTTTTAATGATAAAAAGAACCAATTCAATATTCCATGGTACAGCTCATACAGGCAGGTGATACAAACCAGTGTGCTTTCTATCATCCACTGCAGCATATAAAGTTGCACACAAAGCTATTTGTTCAAAGCACATAATGCAAAAAGAGATAATATATAGGATAAAACACCAAATAGTGTACATTTTCCTTGCTAACTCCTCGATGGTGTGCACCACAATCAGAAAGCCATTCTAAGCATACAGTATCCCAAGATAATACTGTACTAAGTAACATATTTCAAGCTCAGCTACTTATCAAATTTAGAACCGTATTCATATTTACAAAAATTATTACAGTGAGATACAGGAACTTCTCAGAGTGACAAGTTAAATAGGCCTTGGCCTTAATGAGAACCAACCTAACCTAACCAAGGCATCTTAAATGTCTAAAATTCTCATGGCTGGTTTAGGTTAGGTTGGAGCTAATTAAGACTGGGGTCAATCTTAACCAGTAACTGTTTCTCTGTCATAATACAGGTACCCTTTGCATCATAATGGGTTAGGTTCCTCAAAGAAAAGAAAACCCCAATATGATACCTAAAAAATTAAATAAGTTCACAAACAAAAAACTTACCTAACTACCTGTACCATTATTTAATATCTAATTTAACTATACATTACAGTATTGCCATTTAGTACAGTACCTAACTACAAGAAATACCCCAATATTATACCCCAAAATAATTAAATCAGCTGAGGCCTTCCTGCATTCATGAAGTCATTATTTCAAGCTTGTTTTCAGTTATCATGGGCTTACACGGTTTTTTGGATATAGTGGGTGTAGCCAAGGAATCAGCACAATTCTTGGATACCATTGTGAACAGATTCAAAAAAGGATGGCACAAATACTGTCCACATGGATGAAGAGAGAGGAGCACTGCACTTCAACTGAACACTAAGGTAATGGTGTGCTAGACCCTGTCTGAGGAAGTGTGGTGGTAAGCCTCCAACCAAAAAGAACCTGCAATATTTTACCTAAAAAATTTTAATTGGTTAAAAAATTTATATACTGTATACAGAGAACGCTGATTTAAAGCGATTCAATTTAAGATCATTGATTTAAAGCAACACCCACAATTAAGGACAATGTTTTAATTTAAAGCGAATCTTTCCTATTTAGCGCGAGTCACTCTGGCGCATCATATTTTAAAATTTGCGCCAAATGTTTCTCTGGGCACGCTACACTGTCCTAAGGGCAAAGCTGTACTGTACATGTACTCAAAATAATGTACTAAATGATTACTAAAATTTTTGTCTAGTGCAAACTATAGCATGATTATACTATTCATATTAATCACTATCTTATAAGAATTCCAGCAATGTAAATTATATTCTCCCAGGTCAGTTCAGTGACATTTTATAAGAGAAAAACTTAGTCACTCTTAAGGACAAATCAACACATAAGCACTAGACCTTGGCATCAACTGTCAAACATATCACCTCACCTCCCCCCTCCCTCCACCTCCCCCCATCTTCCCAGCCAGTAAACAGACCATTTAACATCCCTTAATTTTAGCTGTGTTGATTTATGAGTGTTTGTTTTAACATAACACTACAAAAAACAATGTTTTGTTTATTCAAGGAGATGGGCTGAGGTGCATCTGGGTAGACTGCCAATCTTTTTAGTATTTTGTGTTTCTCTCAAGTACCAAACTAAATTATTCTATTGAAACAACACTTCGATTTAGTGCGAATTCGATTTAAAGCGACCTCTCTTGGAATGTATCTCATGTTATATCGACTTTCTACTGAACAGCATTACTGTACTGTATACATAAAAAATTATAAACTAAATAAAATACATATACGTATGCAGTATACTGTACTGTTGTTAGTACACTACATTGTAATATGAGGGGGGTGATCAGCCGACTCCCAAGCTGCATCTGGCGCATGTAATTTGAATTTTTGATCGGACCTTTATTTCAGATAAGCAAGAATTGCGTTCGGATAGTGAAAAAGTGGTGTTGAAATCAAATTTTTCGTTAAACAAATTTCTAGATAGCAAGGGATACCTGTATTAATTATATGAGATTACTGCAACCAGTAATAGAATGCTTATTAATGGTTTATTCTTATCAAGCATGAAGACCAATTCTTTGATGATGAAGCTGAACATTGAAATGGCTTTATATAATTTCAAAACTTTAAATAAACAAAGAAATAATAATAAAATAACAAACTGATGAGATGCTAAGTCATTTACTGCTTTGATAGAATGGAGTGAAAAAAGTACTGCACTGTACTCACATATTGAGAAGAGCCACATTCAGATCATGTGTGGAGCCTCGCTTGTTGTCCTCGCTGCCTTGGAGTTCACATTCTAGTCTGCAAATATCGTAAAATCATATACCCAGTGTCAACCACAACATAATTTAAAAGTAACTTAAATAATCTGAGAAAATTCCCAATAATGGAACAAGTATGCCACAAAAGTGTCAGTATTTTTTTTTTTACGGGGATTAGCCCACCCAGGCACAGGTCACGGACCCACATCGGGGCCTGGGGGTGAGAATGTAATAATTATTCATAATAAATAAAAATTATAATAAAAAGTAAATAAAATAATATTGATAACAATAATAACACTATAATAATAATAATAAAGAACTATAAAGAAATACAAAAATCAAGTGAGAAACGCTATATGTTGTGTTGTGTTGTCAAGTATGAGAAACAATTGAGATCTTTAATTGTGTGTAAATGAGGCAGAGAGACAGATCAGCAACCTGGGACTTGGTCACAATTTTCGTGATTAAACCATGGCTTACAAATACCGTACAGGTATTGCCCAATGCACGATATCCATATGTATGATACAGTAGGGGCGGGATATATAGCGACTTAATGGAAAGATTTTTTTATATCACGGCTACCCAAATTATCAACATTTTCCTATATATAACGATAATTTTTTTTATTTCGCGAGGGAAATGGGGCAGGAAATATTTCAAATTTATCACTACTACCCAAATTATCGAAATTGTCCAATATATAGCGATAAATTTATTTACAGTAGACTCACAACGTACATGGGGTCATGTTCCTGGGACCTCACCTAAAGCCAAAAACTGTATAAAGTCAGAAACACTCCTAAAAATACCCTAAATACAGTAGCTCCAAAAATAAGAGTTGATTTTTTCTCTTTTGCAAAATATAGGATGTTTATATTCAAATTATTCGCTGTCTTACAAGGATTTCAGCAATGTAATTTATATTCTGCTAACCTTAGACTGTGCAATTTTATGTCAAGTTTAGTCACTTTTATTGGCCTCCAGAACCTAACCCTATTTTCCCCATTGATTACATGTAATTACATATCGTGATTTAGTATATAGCGAACATTGTTGGACCCATCTCGTGATATATCCCGACCCTACTGTATATGTATTCCGCTTTAACAATGATGATGTATTAAGACTCCCCCCCCCCATTTACGATGTAAACAATCTGCATGAACGATGGTCACCGTCCAACCAATGCGACTGTATCTTTCGATTCAGTTGTCACCTGTGGCCACCACACAGCCACCCGGTGCACTACAGTACATACCAAGCTTTGTACCATGGTGATTACATTGTGCTTCCTCATCCTGATCAACGACGCTCTATCGGTCACTCCTCACAGGTGGAAGTATGTGGATGACTGCAGTGTGGGGGTTTCAGTGGACAACACCGCACCAGACTACTCATTGCTACAAGGCACCCTGGACAGGCTACAGGCATGGACTACGAAGAACAAGGTCACCATCAACCACACCAAAACCGTAGTCATGCACATCAATACCGCCACCACTCCAGTGCAAGCCCCAGCAGTCACAGTGGGTGCCCATCCTCTCCAGCTGGTGCAGTCTGCCAAACTCCTGGGTGTAACTATAGACAACAAACTTGACTGGAAGGCCCATGTAAATAACACAGTCAAGGCAGCCTCGACGACTTAGGTCACTTGGGACACCCACGCCAGAGCTGAGGACCATCTACAACGCCTTTATTCTCCCCAAACTAACGTATGCGTCACCAGCCTGGTCGTCTTCTCTCAACGCCACCCAACAACGTCAGCTAGAGAAGGTACAGAAAAGGGCCTGCAGAATCATGCTCGGCGCAGAATACTCGGGCTACACCAACGCTCTCTCCACCCTGGAAATGCCATCCCTCAGTGACCTCCACCACCAAGCACTGGAAAGGTTTGGCCGTGGACTACTGCACCACCCTCGCCATCGCCACCTCCTGCAGCCCCCCACCCAACTCGCGCAGTCCGCCACTACAACAAAATTCAGCCCATAAGAGCCCGCACCGATAGATATAAGAACAGCACCATCCCATCTATTGTTAAAATAATAAACAACTCCTGATTTATGTACTGTACAGCCCTGTAAATGTATTCAATGCCTATTATATCATTATGTCTAAATCAAATGTAAGTCTGTATATTTTCAGCCACCGGCTGCAACTCTATTAAAAAACCGTTTATTATTATTATTTTATGTAGCCAAATGATTATTGGCAGTGTTGTACGCGTCAACGAAAAAAGTGGCGCCGTCAGCGTAAAGAGCAGAGAAATTTGATGCCATTAGCGTTGGCGTAAACGATTTTATAAACTGACGCCGTTAGCGTCAACAAGTTTTCAGCGACGTACAAATGCAGCCCCAAAATGCGTATTCTCCTGTGTATGGGAGTAACATGCAAAATCTAAAAATATTCATTCATTTTTAGTCATTTATTATGATTTATATTACAGCGATCCCTCGGTTAACGAATTACCTTCCATAAGATTCTTAACTTCGGCTAACGAGCATTCCCTCGATTAAAGAATTCCTTACGAGCGCCCCTCAACATGTTTTCGCTTGCACACTAGCTGTCGTATTAGTCGGCCAATACAGTAATCGGTTTTAGGGCTTAAATTCCTTACTATTTTAGTAAATATCAAGAAGTTTGTACTATTCAATAATTTTAAAAGTCTTATATTAAAATTTTTAGTCATTTTAACAATTATTGAACATAATTGAAGAATAGGAAGCCAGTTTTTTGTGCGCCAACCAGCCTGTCAACACACCATACAGGCGTCATTCTCTGTGTCTTTTCAGTGGAGGTAACATCTTGCTTCAGACTCTCTTCAACATAAACGCTTTTTTTTCTCTGTTTCCAGTCAAATTATTGGTCATTTTGAAATTTATTTTACATATTGACAATATATAATGCAGTGCAGGGTTGATTTAAAGAAAATAATCTTGAATTACACCAAGTGAACTAAAATTTTATGGGTAAAATGGTGCCATGGGGTTCCACCCCAATGCCTTCTCCTCCACCCCCATTCTAATTCCCATCATCATCATCATCCAGGAGCCTTCTACATACACACCTCAAAATAAGTGTACTTTACTACCTTTTTTGTTGACTTTTGGCAATTTTCAGTAAGCTGGAACCAATTACCCAAAAACCCATTGAAACAATGGTTTCGGTTAACGAGCAACCTTCCGGAATGAATTGTGCTCGTTAACCGAGGGACCACTGTATATAATTTTAATTATTCATTTGTTCCCCCGCAAGAATACAAGCATCTCAAAATGCCTGTCGCTCATTCTGCTGTGCTTGGGCCTCAAGACGTCCTTGCCCATGGAGAACATGCGCTCCACGGCCTCATGGCCTTGTCGGTCGTCTTTATAACAAGATAATTGAAAATTGAACTTGGAAAAATAAAATTTTTTAGAAGCTGACGAACAAGTTGACGCTCTGCTCGGGTGAAAAGTTGACTGTGTCACCTGTAGCGTCACCTGCCCAAAAAATTGACGGCATCAGCTTTAACAAAAAACTGCGGCCCTCCATTGACGGCATTAAATTAACGGCGTCAACATACAACACTGATTATTGGTTAGTATCAGTGTTGTTACTTATAATCAGTTTTTTTTTTTTACCTTACAAGTGATTTTTGCTGTTTTTTGTGATTGTTAAGTGCTTTGTTTTTGTTGCTGTGAACATGATATGAGCAGTGTCAGGCCTCAATAACGTTATCATCATTCGTTGTTTTGTGACTGTGAAGTGAGCAGTGTAACTCTGAAGATGTCTAGGTAGGCCAAGGCAACCAGGAAAACCGAGTCTCTGGAGGTGAAGCTTGACATTATGAAGCAGCATGAGATACCCCAGAGGCTTTGTGGGAGTCAGAGTGACGTCTCCCCTTAACTTTCAAGTCCCATTAAGCCACGAAGGGGACATGTTATGACGACCAGGCATGTTCTTAATGAATTTTTTATTTTCATTTTTTTTAATGGGGATTAGCCCACCCGGGCACATGTCATTGACCCACATCGGGGCCTGGGGGAAAATGTAATAATAATAATAATTATAATAATAATAATAATAATAATAATAATAATAATAATAATAATAATAATAATATCAGATAAGTAAAATTTTTAATACAAATTACAAAAATAAAAATAATAAAATAATAATGATAATAATGAAGATGATAATAATAATAAAGAAATACAAAAATGAAAAAAAAATTGAGAAACAATACTGTATATGTATGTTATGTTGTCAATGGTAAGAGAAACAATTGAGACCCTGGGACTTGGTCACAATTTTCGTGATGCCATATGGCAGCAGGGTCCACCATTAGTGGTAAGTGTTGTTTAATTATGTTGTAGGTATAGTATTAGTACAGGATTTTTTTCTTTGGTGATACATGTGGGTGTCCAACTGGCTGGGAATATATCCCTTTGAACCCCACGTTAAAATGGTCCATTATTTACGATACTTTGACCCGTGATGGGTTTTTCAGGAACCCAACCCCCTCGTAAATAGGGAGAAACCTGTATTGAGATCAATCAACCAAGATGCCATCCTCAAGCATGATGCCTATGGACCTTTACTCCATATGTTTTGTGAACTCCTAACCAATCATCCCAGGTTCTGTACCTCTTCAAGGACCCAGTGTTTAATTTAATTCATTCATCCTAATGAGGAGCCATGGTTGCCAACTCTCAGAGGGCAACTTGTTGATAAACTAAAAAGTAATGGTGCAACAATATTTAACTGACCTGATAACCAAACCCACAATGAGGTGGGGGAAATAACTCATCTCAACTAACTCCAATGACATGACCACAAAAATGCTAACTTAACGCAAGAAATTGTAGGTTTTACTGAGTAAGTGAGGAAACAATGTCACATATATACTGGCTGATGTGTAAGTTGACTCCCAAAACACCTTCTGAGAGACAGTCACTGAACAACAATTACCAATCTTTAAATTTTCTAAGAGTCTTTTGAAATATAGATACCAACCTGAGGGCTTTAACAAGTGTCTGTTGCTGAGCCATGAGGAAGTTTACTTGTGAGCGCAACACAGCAATCTCTCCATCTCTTTCTCTTAGTTGCTCCTGGAATTCAGAAACAGTGTCTTCTAGGGTCTGACATATTGCCTGGAACAGAAGAAACACCTCACTCAATACAGTAGTATTACATATTGTCTAGAACACCAGGGCTGCCTATATCAATAATCTAACATAGTCTGTAAAACCAAAGCCACATATCTTAATAATATGACACTCTTTCTGGAGCACTAGTCACATATTTGAGCAATAATATCTAATGGAAAAGTTTGGTGAAATTTTCAGTGTAATTCTATCTTATCTTGTAGCCAAATTCTTCCCTATATGAATAGACCTCCAGTTATATAATGGGTATCTATAGTTAAATTGGTTTCCTTATACTGTACTGTACAAGGAATACATCTATTGCATAAAAGTGGGATACTGTACCTCTATTTGACATTGTAAATGTGCATACTGTAAAAGTATGCACATTTTATACACTTATACCAGGTCATTGCTGAGTGTCACCAAAGCACCTATACAATACTAAAATACACAGACCCGACTCTCCTCCAAGGTGTCGTGGGGTCCTGGTGGGTTGTCTAGACAGAAGAAGTCACGAACACACTTCTTCTCACGGATTCTAGTATGACCTGCGGGAATGAACGACAAAATTTTCAATTTCCTACTCTACAAGGCTGCTATCCTACCCCTGTACTATGCACAGTACCAAATGTTCTACGAAGCATTACTAAAGTTTATGTTTCTCTTGTCAGCTTTGGTTAAAAATAGAAATAACTTTATTTCTGAAAACAAAATTAATTTTTTTTCTGGATTTCAATTTTAAAAATTCATCATCTGTAATAATCTACCAAACATAGCTGGAAAAGTAATCACGACAACTAAGAGAACAAAGAGAAAATAAAATATGTCGAAATTATTTGGTATAATTCCACAAAATAATAATATACTGTGGAATTATAGAAAACAATTTCTACAAAAACTGTAATTTATTACTCAAATTATATGGAGGTTGAGAATGGTATAAACTATTAAATGGGAATACAGTACAGTACTACAGTATACTGTACTGGCCACTGAAAGAGCTAGTGTTTTGCAAAAGGCAGTTGTTGTGATACTCCTTTATCGCTTTAGACCAGTGGTACTGGGGAGCCACATGGAGAAATAATAAAAGTTGAATTCAGCATTAACCCAACTACTCCAATCCCCCCTACTGCCTATTGTTCCATGTTGTTCTCCATATACAATATAATGACTTTTTCTTTATTAAGAAACTTTCAATAAAATTGTGTAACATTTTTTTCTTAATAAGTACAGTATACAGTATTTCAAGCTTCCCCATATGCATGAGATACTGGGATAACATAATAACGAGTTTGTTGATTTTGAATAGTAATATGAGTACTGTACAAGGAGTAAAAAAAAAAAAAGTTGATTAAAGTGATTTTGAAAAAATGGGGTGGGTTGGGGGGTGAGGAGGGGGGTGAGAGATTGGTAAAAACCCCACAATGTGATAACATTTGGGAACCACTGCTTTAGACAGGTTGGACTGACATCCTCAGAACTCAGTGAGTTTAATACTCAATATTGTTTTCAATGGTGTCTTTTACATGCCTGAAATGAGACTTACAAGCAATCTTTCACAAATTCAACTACAGTACATTGCATCTGATTACTAGACAAGTACAGTTGAAGGAGAAGTTAACAAAATAATATTTCCTTATATAGTTAACTGGTACTATCTACACTATCTACAATGAACTATTGTACCCTGACTTGTACAACTAGAAACAAAGTACAGTACAATAGTGGCAGGCCAAACACTTTAGGCATACAAGAGTTCTGATACATACATATACCTTGTGGCTGGTTATGTGAATGACCTCCTGTTGACTTCTGCCCCGGTGTAAAGGATCTCCCTAATTAAAGACATCAATATAAGGCCTTCAGGTTGCATGAGAAAATTGATAAAAAAATCTAAATTTGTAGTTCTTGCTTGGTGACCAACGTACTCTAGTGAAGAAAGTTATATACTTTCATGTTGTAACATTTTCTACTTATACCTCCACATATTATCTCCCAACTTAGTCTACAATACTGTTTCCTCGACTGCTTCGGTAGAACCACATTGTCTGAACAAAAAGTGGACAAATAAGCAAATGGAATTGAACAAAAAGTCAAACAAGACTAAGACATGCTAAAAACAGATGTGCACAGGTAAAATATTATGGTTAAAAGAAGCTAAAGATCTCCATGGTTAAATACTACAAGCTGAAAGAAAATGGAACATAAGAGGAACAAGCACTAAATTAAAAAATGAAGTTAATGTCATGCTGGACAAAATATACAGGGTTAGGTTATGTTAGGCTACGCTGGGCGAAGTTGGGTTAGCTTTTTAACTTCTGGGTGTATCGGAGCGCTGTATACCACCCTGAGAAGATCTCTACCCTCTTCATTCACAATCAGTTAATTCCTTCTACAGTACTTGCCATTTCTAAATTCCTTCTTGCCTTCAAAAGTTAGCCAAGGCCCTGAACAAGATGATGATGAAGAGATACCTGTGTTATAAACTCTTAACTCACCAATAATATTATCAATGAAGGCTTGTAGTCCAAGTTGTCTGTCTTCAAGGAAAATGGGATCAAAATTGTCTCCAAACCATCTTTTTGGCGGCAAAGCAAATCTGAGACCCGGGAATTCTTCTCTAAGCTGTAATAAAAGAAAGTAAGCATTGATAGATATAAGAAAGTAACCATTGATAGATATAAGAAAGTAAGCATTGATAGACATAAGAAAGTAAGCATTGATAGATAAAAGAAAGTAAGCATTGATAGATAAAAGAAAGTAAGCATTGATAGATATAAGAAAGTAACCATTGATAGATATAAGAAAGTAAGCATTGACAGTTATAAGAAAGTAAGCATTGATAGATATAAGAAAGTAACCATTGATAGATATAAGAAAGTAACCATTGATAGTTACAGTGATCCCTCGGTAACGAGCGCCTCGGTTAACGAATTACCTTCCATAAGATTCTTAACTTCGGGTAACGAGCAATCCCTCAATTAACAAATTTCTTACGAGCGCTCCTCAACATGTTTTCGCTTGCATTTGGCGGCCCACCAGCTGCAGTATTAGTCCGCCAATACAGTAATTGGTTCTACGGCTTAAATTCCTTACTATTTTAGTAAATATCAAGAAGTTTGTACTATTCAATAATTTTAAAAGTTTTAATTTAATTTTTTTTAGTCATTTTAACAATTATTGAACATAATTGAAGAATAGGAAGCCAGTTTTTTGTGCGCCAAGCAGCCTGTCAACACACCATACAGGCGTCAGTCTCTGTGTCTTTTCAGTGGAGGTAACATCTTGCTTCAGACTCTCTTCAACATAAACACTTTTTTCTGTTTCCAGTCAAATTATTGGTCATTTTGAAATTTATTTTACATATTGATGATATATAGCGCAGTGCTGTGTTGATTTAAAGAAAATAATCATGAATTGCACCAAGTGAACTGAAATTTTATGGGTGAAATGGCACCATGGGGTGACTTCTCTTCCATCCCAATGCATTCTCTTCTCCCTTCTCCTCCACCCCCATTCTAATTCCCATCATCATCATCATCATCCAGGAGCCTTCTACATACACACCTCAAAGTAAGTGTACTTTACTACCTTTTTTGTTGACTTTAGGCAATTTTTGGTGAGCTGGAACCAATAACACCAAAACCCATTGAAACAATGGTTTCGGTGAACAAATTTTTCGGTTAACGAGCAACCTTCTAGAACGAATTGTGCTCGTTAACCGAGGGACCACTGTATAAGAAAGTAAGCATTGACAGTTATAAGAAAGTAAGCATTGAAAGACATAAGAAAGTAACCATTGATAAACAAGGTCTTTTCTCTCTTGCAAGGCATTTTCCATTACAATGCACAGTAATTGACCCCCCCCCACAAAAAAAAAATCCAATTCTATTCACTGTCATGAATGTTGTCTAATTATAGGAAGTCTTCAATACACTTAATTTACAAATTTCTGGCCTTCCTGCATCAGAGCATAATATACATTTGTAGGAATGAATAAAAGAGATACATTTTATGTAGTAGAACTTGTTTTAACCAGACTGTTGAGCAATAAGGGTGCTTCAAATGAATAACATTTCTCGTTAAATTGTGTACTACCAAGAATGAGTTACATGACATCAAGACTGATCATGTTCCCAGTATTTAAGGGATACCGTAATCTCTTTGTATTTTCAGTACTCACCATAGTCTTGAGGTTTACTGAAAATGTGTGAATAACCTGGTTGTGCAAACTTGCATCTCACTCCACTCTGCTATCTCTTTATAAAACATGATAAATTGCTACTTAGCACAGGCATGAAGCATAAGAGTGAAAACTATGTAGTTTGAAAATTTAAAGCTTATGGTACTTACCCTTTTATTAAGACGAACAAAATCTGTGTAGCGACGAAACACAAACCACTGATCTCCGGAGGGCTGATGGAACACTTGTATCTTGAAAACCTGTGTAAATTGCCCACTACCATTAGCTATAACTCATATTCATTTAGTTAAAATCATATTTTTACAAACTCTCTTGTTAACTTCTATCTCTGTATGAGTAGAGCATTAATTACAGTGTATAACAACATTACCAAATATGCCTTTCTCCAAAAATTCTGTAAACTTAAGTCCTTGTATGGTAAAGTTGGCTGTAACTCAAGCTAAATGTTATATAATTTATGACTGTGTGGGAAAATGATCATATGCCATAGAAATAATGATATTGGAGATAGTTTCACCTTATAAACTAAAAATAAGTACAATTGATGAAAAAGGGAATGGCACATAATATTTATGGATAAAGTTATATTTTAGATGGGGTAAAATACCCCCAAAAAACACTGTTGACAAAAAAGTATTGAAGTGAATTGGAAAGAGAAATAATTTAGTTACCGTAAATCTATTTCGTTCCTCCAAGACTTCATATCCAACTATAGGCATACGGTACAAGCAGGTGTTGGTGCTCTCATTACCTTGTGAGAGCCCAAGGGCAGCAAGTGGCCCTGCTAGTGGGGAGGAATCTGTTGCTTGCCCTGTTAATAAGTAAAGAAAGTACAATACAGTATAAATAAACAATAAAGGCCATTCTAAACAGATAAATTTTTTAAGTTGTATAGAATCCTTGAAGTGATATAAAGATCTACCCAAGAGATATATATATATATATATATATATATATATATATATATATATATATATATATATATATATATATATATATATATATATATATATATATATATATATATATATATATATATATATATATATTACAGAAGTATGTTACAGTAATAGGAGACATTTTAACACTTAAGAAATTACATCACATACCCAATATTTTTGTTCTCTATTTCTCTACAAACCTGAATCAGTGGTGTTGTCTGAACTTGGTGTAGAATCTGAGGAGGTAAGATTAGTACTGGAACCATACCATCCTCTGCGACCTTCAGGCCTGAAAAAGAGATTTTTACAGTACTGAATAATAGTAATTTGAAATCAACATTTAAAACTTATCAGTGGATACAGGAGATGCAGCCAAGTCTTAATGGGTTGCTGTTCCCTACTGGTGGATAGTTTCTAAAACTTGATTAACCATCAAACTGATATTTATGAACCTTTAATTTGTTATTGTGCATTCTGTGCAAGATATGGGAAGAGGAAAAACTGGGGATGAGGTGGCCTGTGAAATGGCATGTTGCCATTGTTTTATTTATAGTTTTATATTATGTTTTCTATATTTCTAAGACACATTAATTAGAGTATTGTAATGATATTTCCACAACTTTTATAGCATTACTGTAGTCTTTTAGTGTGCCTTTGTTATGAAAAAGTGCCAGAATTAAAGATGGTTGCAGAACACATCCCCATTTTCCCCATAAGAATAAGAATTCACTTTATGTGATTTCGCGTCATGCAAGGTTTTTGCAGAATATAACCCAAGCATAAAGTGAGGGTCAGGTAAATTCAAATACAGTGGTCCCTCGGATAACGTGCACAATTCGTTCTAGAAGGTTGCTCGTTAACCGAAACCATTGTTTCAATGGGTTTTTGGGTAATTGGTTCCAGCTCACCGAAAATTGCCTAAAATCAACAAAAAAGGTAGTAAAGTACACTTACTTTGAGGTGTGTATGTAGAAGGCTCCTGGATGATGATGGGAATTAGAATGGGGGTGGATAAGGGAGAAGAGAAGTCACCCCATGGCGCCATTTCACCCATAAAATATTAGTTCTCTTGGTGTAATTCAAGATTATTTTCTTTAAATCAACACTGCACTGCATTATATATTGTCAATATGTAAAATGAATTTCAAATTGACCAATAATTTGCTTGGAAACAGAAAAAAAAGCATTTATGTTGAAGAGAGTCTGAAGCAAGATGTTACCTACACTGAAAAGACAGAGACCGACGCCTGTTTGGTGTGTTGACAGACTGTTTGGCGTGCATAAAACTAGTTTCCTGTACTTCAATTATGTTCAATAATTGTTAAAATGACTAAAAAATTTAAAATTAAACTTTTAAAATTATTGAATAGTATAAACTTCTTGATATTTACTAAAATAGTAAGGAATTTAAGCCGTAGAACCAATTACTGTATTGGCGGACTAATACTGCAGCTGGTGGGCCGCCAAATGCAAGCGAAAACATGTTGAGGAGCGCTCGTAAGAAATTTGTTAATTGAGGGATTGCTCGTTAACCGAAGTTAAGAATCTTATGGAAGGTAAATCGTTAACCGCGGCGGTTGTTAACCGAGGGATCACTGTATCAGGATTTTCTTAAACGGGACATGTAAAGTACTGAAGCATGACAATGATAATTCAAAACAAACAACCAGAGACCCAAAGAACAATGCAAGGTTGGTTCCTCATCCACTAACTCACCTGTCATCTTGAGAAGGAGCTAGAAATTCACTTATCCTGTTACCATTCACCATGACACTGGCATCATTATCCAACACATGATTGATTATGGGTCTATCTGTCGCTGAATCAGAATTTATAGCTTCTGATGATGCACAAAGAGAAGCTGCCCTGGAGTGCGTTGGTGTGCCTTCTCTAGAGGCCGCCAAGGCTCGGTGTACTGCAGCTCGTTGCTGTGCCATTACGAAGGCTGTATCAGCACCTGTAAAATGAGCATCATTAAAACTTGAAAAAACAAAAAAATTTAATCAATATAAAAGAAGAGTAATGAATCTCCAAAATATAAAAGTATTGTACTATAGTAAGTACGGTACCTATACTGAAATTGGAAAAATGAAGGAGTGCTCCTGTAGCCCAGCCAGCTCTTATAACACAGTGCAACTTACCAGTGGATTCGTAAGCTGTTTAATTGAGCTGAAAGTACCTACCTGAGATGATTTGTTTATCATTGTCTAACCCCCTTCCACAACCAGCCTCAAATGAAAGCACGTGATGTGACTGACCTCCCCCTGGAAGGGGGGAGTAGGCTAGAAGACTACTTAAGACTAGTGTTTGACCATTCAGAGACCATTATGCCATAATACTGTACCTTGGGTTAAACTGTATCCATAAACCCTTTCAGTCACATGGACATACCTGGTACATCCTTTAATTTCCATGACAGTAGGAAAAGCTGGGAGGGTGATTTTGTTCTGATATGGCACTAGTCTTATTCTACGGCACTGTGATATTCCACCAGGCCTAGTTCTCCGTCTTGAGCAGCACCTTATTCTGACAGTACTTCACCATTGAAGCACCTGCAGACTTTGTGATGCTCATGTGTTCTTTAATCTTGGCGGCTTCCTTCTTGATCGTCCGGATCGTAGATTCGTTCACGCCATGCTGGCGCGCCAAATCAACTAGTTTCGTTCCTTTTTCTAAATCTTGCACGATCTTGTACTTAACTTCGTAACTTAGGGCACGTCGTATCCTCTTGGGCTTGGGGTGGCTGGGTCCAGGTAATGCAAGGTTTTTCTGTGGTGGTGGGGATCAAGCGGATGCCATTGTTGAATAGATTTGCGAGCACAATAGAGAACAGTATACGCGGTGACAGGAGAACAATGAGACTTAGGCGGCAGGGGCAGGCGCTCCCTCCTGTCCCAGGCCATGTCATATAACATTAGACCAATCACAGCTAGCGGCGGAGGGAATGCGTGGGTGGTAAGGATGCGTGGTCCAATCACAGTCTGATACGTCGACGTCAGCGATAACACAACAGCAACCTAATGCACACCCCCCACTGCGCCGCTTCCCGCGTATGGTCGAGAATGGACCGCTTAAATGAAAAATGGCGTGGAGCGTCTGGACCTCCAGCCGCTCTCCGCGTAAATGACCAAATTTACAACGTAATTGAAGCATTTTCATTTTAGCAAGGCACCGCGTAAATGACAAAACGCGTGAACAAAACCTGCGTAAATCGAGACTATACTGTATAGTGTTCTGCACGATACTGACACTCGGATTTACATTTTGGACACTTTACAGGTGAAGCAAGAACACCGTGAGCCCTAAAAATACCTATGGCTGCTCCATCATTCTCCAAAACACGCACCAGTCAGCCAATGTACACCCTTCACACACAGTATCCATCTTGAAACTGATCAAGAATCGAAAGTTACGCTCATTGGCGCTTGAGTATTACGTCACATAAACACTCATGCCGAGTCGCGCACACGACTATGACATAAAAAAATACCCCCACTGATTGGCTAATTTTATTATAAAATAAAAATTTATATTACCTCAAAAACTATACATTTCCGACAGAAACGTGATAGAAGAAATATTTGTTATATATTTTTTCTCTAGCCATATATGACTCGATATTCAGATCACTGGTGACATTTTCCGAATATTAACCAACGATAATAATACCACCTAACCTAAGCTAACCGTACCTAGGGCCTAACATTAAAGCCTGTGGGTTAGGTAGCCACAATATCAAGAGGCCCACAGAGCTTACTCAACAAACTTCCCCTGAATAAGAGCAAGAGAAGCTAGTCACGATTATTAGTTATGTTACGCAAGTTTCAAAGTTCAGGTGTTAAGAGGTGGGGCACACCACCACCTGTCCTTGGGGCTGCCACTAACTCACTAAGACCTGACAAATCCCATCAAGAAAATAACAGCATGTAAATCAGAAAAGTTAAATTTTATATATAACCTAAATTGATCACTGAGTTCACAGTTTACAAGAATTCTGAAGAAAAATGTCTACAGTACAGTAGTGAATAACATACAAGATGAAGCAGCACTGAGAGGCTGTAAACCTAACTAACTTCCTCTTAGTCAGTTTACTCACTTTCAATTAAAATATGTCGGATGAGTAATAATGACAATATTATTTATGCAAACAATAAAAAATATATAATTCATTATAGTTACAAATGAATTACGCTTGACGCCTAGACACCTCCACATCTCACTATCTTAGCACTTATCTCTTTCTACTACATTCAGTATTTCTTACCATCATAAAACCCACAGTAGTACGGAAATGAAGGAGTGTTGGGATATAAAGGTGAACATGTATATGACGTCTTAACTGTGACACCTCCCACCCAGACCAGCCTCTAACAGTGCTCTAACTTTATATATTTTCAATTATCACTATTATTAATTTAGGTAAGGAATTATTATATTATAAATGTTATGTTACTTTTAAATTTTATAATACATTACATCATTAGGGTATGAACTTACTTTAAAGTATATTATTGTTCCCTACTCACCAACACCTGGCCATGACTCACACCACACTGTAAACAAGGAATATCTTCCTTTATTTGTTAAAAGTTTCCTTGTTTCATATTACACTTCTTATTTTATTATGAACCATATATTTTCAAGTCACTGAATTTAATGCAATTTAATCCATATATCGTTTATGTCAGTCAAATGGAGTAAATATTTAAAATATTCACAAAACTAATGGGTGCCAGGTAATAAATGCATTGTTTATCATATACAGGTATACAATGGTGGTTTTCTGCTTAAAATAGTATCTTAAGACGTTTATCATTATAGCCAACCTGTTTATTAAATAATTTAAACACTTGTCTGTACAAAATACGTAAAAGTTGACTGCGGCTGAAACACCTTTTATCTCAGAAATGGATATGAACAAAGTTAATTATTTTACAGCATTAAGAATAACACAAAAAACACCTGAACGACTTCCTCATAAGACCTACTATTATAATTCATCTTCCCTTCACAATGGCCCGAGAACATTCAGTCTTTATTAATGCTGTTTCTTCATCCCGTTGAGACATATGATACGCCTCCTTACTGTGGTAGGACCTGGTGCAGCCTCTTACACTTCATGACATTGAATCTCATGAAAATTTGCTGCTAATCATTGGCGAATTGGATAGAGGTAAAGTAAAAAAGTTATCCCAAGCAGCGTTTCATTTTCTTTTATAGTATCAGAGAAATGGATGTAAATAAACAGTTCATCAATGAGTTTAAAGGTTACCGTGGTATTAAAGAGACCAACTGAGTATCACTTTAATTAAATGGTTAATAACAATAACAAAAACAATAATAATACTAATAATTATAATAATAATAATAATAATAATAATAATAATAATAATAATAATAATAATAATAATAATATTATTATTATTATTAATATTATTATTATTACTGTAATTGCCAACAGTGTGTAACAGAGACCTGACCGATCGCCCAAGCGGCTAACGAGCCGATCAGAAGAGGATAAAAGTAAAAAGTAAAAGTAAATATAATAAAGAATGTACAGTACATCAATTATGTATGTTATCTAATAGAATGTGCTTGTGTATGATAACAGTGTTTTTCTTTGCCTAAAAATGGATACAATGAAATAGAAACATCAATTGTGAAATAGGAGTGCACCTTACCTTATCCTATGTGAATCTTAACTTAACCTGATGTAATCTAACCTAACTTAATCTCAATTTTCTTAATTTAATTTAATCTAACCTAACCTAACCTAATCAAATCTAACTTAATTTATTGTCACCACCCATCACATATCCAAATCTAACCTACCTAACTAAACCTAATCTAACCTACCTAACTTAACCTAATCTATCATAACCTTACCTACATAAACTATCATTTCCTAATCTAGCCTAATCAAACCAATATATTATGGTTCCTAATTATCCAGAAACCCATTTATTTATTTTTATTTTTTGCTAATAATCTGTAACGTAAAATTCATTTTTCAAAAAATTACTCATGTGCCATTATGTGAACTTTTCTCATTAATTTTTATATCTAAGGTTAATTTCATTATTATAACTCTGTCCTGACATGGTGCATCCTAGAGTGCTAAGAGAGCTGTGCAACGAGCTTGCAGAGCCCCTGAAGATCCTGTTTTGTAAATGCCTGGATGAACAAATGGTCCCCAGTGAATGGAAAGTGGCTTATGTGAGTCCTATCTTCAAGAAGGGCGATCGTCACTCCACGAACAACTATAGACCGGTGAGCCTGACCAGCATAATATGTAAAGTACTTGAGAGTATTATCAGAGATGCCGCGATGGAACATCTACTACGAAACAATTTTGTAAAGGATTGCCAACACGGTTTTAAGCCGGGGCACTCCTGCTTAACACAATTGCTCAAGCTATTGGATATTTGGACCCATATTCTGGAACGGGGTGGTAATACCTTTCAATATTTACCTAGATTTTGCCAAGGCTTTCGACAGTGTACCCCATGAAAGGCTGAAAATCACTGGAAGGGTACGGAATTCGGGGAAATGTCCTTGCATGGATAGAAGACTTTCTACATGACCGCAAGCAGTGTGTGGTGATTAACGGCACGAAATCGTCATCTGTACCTGTCACAAGTGGGGTACCACAGGGCAGTGTATTGGGCCCGCTGTTGTTTGTTTGTTTCATAAATGACATGCCTGACGTTGTACACTCCTCCATACAAATGTTTGCCGATGACGCTGAGTTATTTCGGGAAATTAAGAACCAAACTGACTGTGAAGAGCTGCAGAAGGACCTCTGTGGGCTCCAGGAATGGTCGAAGGAATGGCTGCTGAGATTCAATGTCACGAAGTAAGAGGATGCACCTGGGGCGTACCAACGGTAAGGAGGCGTATCATATGTCCCAACGGGATGAGGAAACTGCACTAGTTGAGACTGAATGTGAGAAGGACCTAGGTGTGTATGTTGACAATGAACTGAAGTTCTCAGGCCATTGCGAGAAGAAGGTAAATCAGGCAAATAAATTATTGGGTCTTATAAGAAGGTCGTTCAGATATCTAGACGGTCCGTCCCTCGTAACGATCTTCAAGGGTGAAGTGCTTCCCCATCTGGAGTACTGCCACCCCGTCTGGTCCCCGATATATGCTAGATGGTTGAAAATGTTCAAAGGAGGGCCACCAGACTGGTGCCTGCATTGCGGCACCTCAGCTACCCTGAGAGATTGGAGCGCCTGAACTTGCCTAGCTTATATTACAGACGGGCAAGGGGTGACCTAGTTGAGGTGTATAAGTGTAACGAGCCGAGTTCTTCTCATTTTATATTTTACCATCCAGATATTCTTTTCGGTTATTATTACTCAATACTTTATATATATGTATGTGTATTCTTACTTACATTCTTATAGTATTCTTTTCTTAGTTATGTATGTGTTTTATATTAGACTTTCATGGTGTATTTATTTAATAATTTATATGCTGTGGCTTTAGTTCCACAATTTACATACATGTCGTATCTGTCTTTTCTTATACTTTCCAAGTCCTTCATTTCTTTTCATATACTGTATATTATATTTTCTAGATTTATATGTCCTTACCTTTCTGAAGTATTTACTCTTTTACTTATATTCTCATACATGGGTTAGTCTGGGGAACCATGTTATTCTTAGTACAACACTTATTATACTTACAAGGGTAACTGCCACCACCCAGCTTTTTAGTATATAACATAACTCATGGAAAGTTTTTGGGTAGTGTGGTAGATGTATAGGCACGTGAGTAAGTATTATTTTCTGGGAACCAATGTTTAGTAGGAGTAGAGTGGTGATACTCTTAGATTACTAATTCAATATTTATTAACACAGTGAGTGGATAAGATGCATCTTAGATTCACTCAGACAAAACAGAACCGCAATTAACTTATTAAGTCATCAAACACTTCAAGAACTTATTACCTCATTAAACACCTCCAAATACTTATTACTTCATAAGACAATTGTGGTATTATTACCTTGACAAATGAGGTTCAGTAATTATTATTCACAAGATATCACTGGACCCTCAGGTCTTACTTTAACAAGTAACAAATTACCTCTTCAATTCTTGGTTATAACATTATACTCTCAGGTTATTATTCCATGGTCACTACTGATGAATACATAACACATTGGACAACTCCACAATTATAGCAACATACAATACCTCCGGTTAGTTCGCAAGGAACAACATGGCACCTTGAACTCTCACTCAGTGGTTCAATACTTAACCTGGGATACTATATTTCGGCTAGTTATCCCTCCAAACATGGGCCGATACTGCGCCATGCAAATAGATGAATTACTATCACCAGGTGGAGTCAGAAGGCACATTTGTTTACAGCGACCGCCAAGCTGAAGGCTCGCTCGCTAGGTGCACCCAGGGAGGTTGACTCGTGACAAACTGGCAGAGTTGTTGATGGCACTTCCCGGGGATCGCGTCCTGGGATTCTAATCGCGCCCCCTTAAAGACATCCTTCGAGAACCATCATGCCCATAGGCAGCTACCGAACCTCAGGAGTGTTGCTAATACACCATCAGCATCCTGGAGACGTGGAGGAGAAATCACAGAGGGAGTGAATATTTAACTTCACTAAACAAACATACGACTGGCAACGGTCCAGATGATATCTAAATCTCTACGTTACTCGACTTAATTGGCACGGAAGTTACTATGTTAAAACATGAACATTGATATTCACAAAATTGACTAAGTTAAACTGAATTAATATGGCTGCTTGGAACACATGTGAACATACCTGGAGACGTGGAGGAGAAATCACAGAGGGCGTGATTTTTCCTCGCGCCGGCATATATACGGGCCTGAGGGCATATTGTAGTGGATTCCTCCCCTATAAGCACAGAACCTTCTCGAATTCCCCAGTCTACGCCTCCAGCGCAACCCACGGAGCGGGGGTCAACTATCTACCCACGCCTACCCCAGCCTTATAAGGCCTGACACCGCTGTGACCAGCCTCTCTTTCTACACAGTGCCACCAGCAAGTAACACCGCCTCCTCCTATACTGCCAGCCTGGGGTCACTAATTCTAAGGGCAAATACTTAACTCTAAGTTTAATTACTAAAGGTCGCTGCCACCAGACCCCCCTCTGGACAGCATGTAACTCGTTAGGTAGTGGGTAGAGTGGACTAGGCATTGGGGTTAGGCTTTCCATTGACCAGATCGATAAGGGGAAAGAAGGGTGAAACCACCCCATGTCTTAGTTCTTTCAATTATTCTTTCTGCTTACTTCAGTTCATTTTGGTAGCCTGTCGGTGGTCTAGGCACATGGGTAGTGTAATTCTGATATCTGGGTCACTTGGACGGAAATAAAGGTAACTACTGTGGGAGAAACACTCAA